GGCCATGAAAAAAAATAAGCAACAAGACTAGAGAAGATAATGCTTCATGGGGTAGGCTTTTGCATGCACGTGTACACATAAAGAAGGCAGGCATGAGCTTGGACGAATGCGTGCTGGATCAGCTGCAAGGGACAAACCTGTGAGTAGAGGAAGGCATCCGTAACAAGAATGAGGCTGAGCCTGGATACAAGGCTGCAAACAATGTTGGATTTTTTTTTTTAATAGAAAAGTAAGAGAAGGCTGAGAACCAAATAAAAACGCTTAGAACTTTGATGCCTAGTGGAATTGCAAAGGAAAGTAATAGCATAATAATATAACTGTTCCAAAAAGAAAAATTAGGTAACTAATAGTAGCAAATCAAATTTCCGTATCAGTGGAATTCCCCAACCTTTGTGTCCCATGTTCTTAGGAAGACTAATTTCCTAATATTGAAACTCTGAAGATTGAGTATTTCCGATAGTTGTGGAAAAGTTTACCATTATGGAACTATCATGTCTGCTTGAATACTTTTCATGATTATATATCTGTGAAATGGGTATATTTTGGACACTACCAATCTAACTTCTCATGATAAATTGCTAGGCGGAGTGTCTTAGAGAACCTTTTTTTATACACTAAAATGGTTACTCAGTTGAGAGAATCTATACAACATAATCCTCCTGACTCTTTAGGCAGACTGTTGACTGTTAGATTCCCATAGACTGAGTGGTTGGAGTTTTGTTGAATCTAGGTAAGATATTGTTTAATCGAAATTTGTTTCAAAATCTCATTTAAGAGAGAGGATGACCTCTTTATAAGTAAAATAATTTCAACTCTAAACAATATTGATAATTTCAATTCCCAAGAACAGCTCCAAAAAAATTGATGCAGGTGAAATTTGTGAGAGTAAGAGGGTAAGTTGTCGCATGCATAATCCTGAATTATAAGAAAAAGCTTCCAGAGCTTCAGGGATAAAGTTTGATTTAGTACTCTGGTTTTAGATAAATAAGATCAATTTTCAATTGATCAATCTTGGAATTATGCCTTTAACTAGCTACTGGTCTAGTAATTTACAGTTACTTTTTAAAATCTTCTATTTAACATTTTAAAGAATTTTCATCAGGCTCTTAAATGTTTCTAACTGCAGTAATATTGATTTTGTTATAAACAGCAAGGAGATTGCCTAGGGCTCAGCCTGCACAGAATCCAGCAGGGATAGTTCTAGCGAACGGACCAGCAGAAGGAGCTCGGGCTGCATCGTGCTGTACATAATTGTTTCAAGAGTTCCATATGTCTCAACTGAATATTAGGTATGGCATCCGGGTCACGTTTTGTCCAACTTGAAAATGGGAATATGTAATCAAGTAAGACAATGCAATAGAAACACCACCCCTATTTGTATTTTGTGCAACTTAGCTTTTGGCTTTGCTGGTAGGGGGAAGTTTGTATATCTTGGATCTTGTTTGTATGTATCTTCAAATTGGATCGTTTTAATTAGAAATTAGTGAACCCTTGACATTAGATTTACTTCTACGTAATATGGCAAATATATAGTCTATTTGTTTCTAGACTATGTTCCAAATCAAATTTATGGAAGTTTATTGAATTTATTTATGAATTCACACTCATTCTAAACTTAGATTTAAAATGCATTATTCTAATTGTATACGAAATTTAATTTTTATTATTTTAAAAAGATTATTATGATTTAAAAAATAATAATTATGATCTTTTAGTGAATTTACTAATGTATTCTATAAAGGTTTTAAATAATATATAAAAGTAAAACCAGAAATTTATGCATGTTAATTTATTATTTTTTTAAAGAATCATTTTATATTTAATTAGTAAATTTTTAGCATGTACACCTACTATAATTTTTAGAATAAAAAAAATCTAAAGTACAAAAAAATATTAATATTATTTTATATATAAAAAAATTTATAAAATTTAAAAAATATAATAAAAATATGAGATAATTAGTATTTTTTTTTTTTTGAAAAAATTGCATGATAAATAAAGTATGAGCAATAAATAAGTAAACAAAAGTTTATATAATAATTACAAAGTTTGTAATCTATTACAAATTTAAACAGATAACTATTATATATATATATATATGTAGTTAATTAAAAATTAAATTTTATTTTTATTTAAAAAATTTTAAATAGTCATTAATTTGCTATATAATTTTTTAAATACATCTCTAGAAAGAAAAGTGATGAATTTCTACTAAAAACATTAAACTCCAAAATTAAATGTATTAGTAAAAAAAATATAAACATTAATACCTTCAAAAGATAACATTATCAGATTTAATTATTTAAATAACAAAATAAATTTAAAACATCTTTTTGAAAAATGGAAAGTGTTTAAAAAGAGTGGATTAGGCAATACTAATTTGTTATTAATATGAGGCTTAGTATTGAGATGTGGCTATCTTAGCTAACTAATCTTTACAAAAGATTAGATTTGGTTACACTAATTTGCTATCAATATGAGATTAATTGTAAAGGCCCAACCTCCTACTAAGGATTTCGAGTATGTAATTCAGAAATAGTGAAATAAATAATACTGAATTTTATAATTTAGCAGAAGCAATTAGAGTTTAGAGTTACATTTGTTGCACAATTTACTTAAAAAAACTCAATAGGATTATCAGAATGACTTCTGAAACTTTAATGAGAAAAGTATAAGAAAAAACAAATATGATTAACTTCTACTCGAAATTGACAAAGCAGAAGAGGTAATCTCTTAACTAGTTTCTTATTGTTCAGGATTCGGGTCTTGATCATCCTGATCTGAAATGATTAATAATAAAATAGTGAGTTACACTAGTTTAGTAAAAATATAAATACCTTACCCAGTATACGGAAAATCAAAAGGTTGTCGAAAACATAAACAACCAATGGAGTTCATTCTCAATAAAACTCGAATGTTAGTGCATTTATTATTCATTTCACTGAAAATATTAATATTTTCTCAACCCATCTATAAATTTTTAAATGTCATTTATTAAGGTAAGAATTAGAATAGTAATTCACAATACACATTCCAAAAGACATATAACAATTAACTCTATACTATTTTTCAAGACTGGATTCCTTACCATATTCATCCATATCATTTTATCTTTCCTACTGGTGTCGATCGAGATCCATAAGGATCTCCACTACATGTGGACACGAACATTTTCTCAATAATCAAATGATTGCCCTCATACTCTGTCCGGTAATTGGCGTCAAAATACACAATCGCCTCAATACCCTGTTTAGTATGAGCATAATTAAAATAATTCCCAATCCTATCGGGTGTGGGACTTCTCAACCCTGTACGACTGAGGGTAACGCCCACGGTAGGGTTCACCATATGCACAAGTCCGTACACTCTTTTCCAAGACACCTAATAAGTCTCTTTCATTTAACACTATCAATTCATGCATATTTTTTCTTTTATTTACTATTTACTCTTAAAAGATACATATAACTGTATTCCAAACAATAAATGAGTACGGAATTTATATTTTAGAGTACATACGTGAAATAAGCATGCATTGTACTATCAGAAACATATTATACACAATAGAATTACATGATAATAAGATTAAAAAACCTTATCACGTTAGCCATATATTTAAAGCGAATAAATTAAACTAAGCAGAATAGTGAATAGATGAGTATAGTAAATGACTGAAGAAATAATTACTACAATTAAAACTTAAAACAAGCATAGACTGACCGATTATTTGCTCAATTGACAACTTATATTTAATTAATTAAAGGACAGTCAATTAATTAAATTTTTTATTCCTATTTTGTAGGTGGATATTCCTATTTTATCCAAAATTTCAAATGGTCCAATGAACGGAGGATCTAATTTTTCTTTCTTTGCCAATCTAGTGATGCCCTTAAAGGAGGTGACCTTAAGAAATATTTTCTCAAATTCCAAATATCTCATTTGGGTCTCTGCATAACTCTTCTCTCTATTCTGGATTGTTTGAATTTTTTTCTTGATTTTGGCAATCTTCACTGTGGTCTCATTTACAAGATCTGAGCAAATCAATTTCCTGTCACCCACCGCTTTCTAACAGATTGGTAACCTATAAGATCGGTCAAACAATGCCTCATACATAGCTATATCAATACTTTTCTGATAATTGTTATTGTAGGCAAACTCTACCAGGGGTAGGTGGTCATCCCAGTGCCCTCTAAAATCTAGAACACAAGCCCTAAGCATATCCTCCAGTGTGTAGATAGTTTGTTCTGATTATTCATCTGTTTGGGGGTGGAATGTCGTACTAAGAGACAACTTCTTTCCCATTATTTGTTGAAGACTTGTCCAAAACTTAGAGGTGAACCTGGAGTCCTTATCTGATATCACTGTCACCGGAACTCCATGCAGTCTAAGTATCTCTTGAATATAAATTTTAACTACCTTGTCCAAAGGATTTATTATTCTGATAACCAGAAAATGAGAGGACTTAGTGAATCGATCAATAATCACCCAGATCGCATTATATGCCGAACGTGCTTTAGGTAATCCTGTTACAAAGTCCATGGTGATATGTTTTTATTTTCATTCTGATATTGACAGCAGCTAAAGTAGCCCGCTTAGGTGTTGATATTCTGGCTTGACCTATTGGTATATAAGACATTTGGAGACGAAATCAATAATTTTCCTTTTCATCCTGCTCCACTAGAATCGAGGCTGCATGCTTTGATACATGTTGGTGCTTTCCAAGTGCATGGTGAACTTCGAACTATGAGCCTCAATCATGATATATCTCTTCAACTCGTTATCACTAGGAACACAAAACCTATCTTGAAACCTGAGTAATTCATCCACAGATATTTAGAACTCTGAGTTCAAACTCTGTTCTGTATCATTTTTAAGAGCTGTTAAAGTAAAGTCGACCAATTGAACCTTCTTTATTCTCTGAAGTAGCTCGAGTTAGACCACTAAGTGAGCTAGACATATGGCTCTTCTCAAGTCTTAGAGTTGTATTTATTGTGTGGACTTTATCATCATGCACTCAGAGACAATTATGTGAGCTACCATACTTGCATTCTTCATGCTGAAGGCATCGGCTGCCACATTACACTTGCTCGGGTGGTATAAGATCTTAAAATCGTAATTCTTAAGAAGTTCTATCCAACGCCTCTAACGCATGTTGAGATTCTTCTTGGTGAATATATACTTTAGGCTCTTATAGTACGTATAGATTTCAAATGTTTTCCTATACAAGTAATGGTGTCAAATTTTCAAGACGTGGATAATGACGGCAATCTCCAAGTCGTAGATGGGGTATTTTTTTTTATGAACTTTTAACTACCTGGACCCATAAACTATGACTTTCTCATGATGCATCAGAACGCACCCCAGCTCTTGGTAGAACGCGTCACTATATACCATATACCCACTTGTTCCATTCGGCAGAGCCAACATGGGTGTGGTAATCAGTCGTTCCTTGAGTTCTGTAAAGCTTTTTTCACATTCTTCATTCCACTCGAACTTGACATTTTTCTTCGTAAGTCATGTCACGGAGGCTGTTATACTTGAGAACCCTTCTACAAACCTGCAATAATGACCTGTTATACTCAAAAAGCTTCTAATTTCTTTGACCAAGGTCAATTGCTTATAACCCATCACTGTATTAACCTTGTGGGATTTACTGACACTCCATCTTTCGATACTATATGTCTTAGGAAAAAAGCTGCTCGAGCCAAAATTCGTACTTACTCAACTTTATATATAGCTTATTTTTCCTGAGAACCTGTAAGACCTGAGTTCATATGTTGGGTGTGTTCTTTTCTGCTCTTTAAGTAAACTAGGAAATCTTCAATGAAAACTATGATAAATTGGTCCAAGAATAGCCTGAAGATCTTGTTCATCAAATTCATAAATATTGTAGGCGCATTAGTCAATCCGAATGGCATAACAAGGAACTCGTAATGTCCATACCGAGTCCTGAAGGTCGTCTTAGAAATGTCTTTTACTTTGATCTTCACCTGATGGTATCCTGAACCCATGTCGATCTTGAATGAACTATGAGCATCCTATAACTAATCAAAAAGGTCATCAATCTTGATAAGGGGGTACTTAATTTTAATTGTGACTCTGTTCAGTTCATTGTAATCTATACACAATCTCAAGGACTCATCACTCTTTCTTATGAACATGACTCTAGCACCCTAAGGAGATATGCTATGTCAAACGAATTCATTATCCTGTAACTCTTTGATCTATTTCCTCAATTCTCTAGTTCGACACGACTCATTCTGTAAAGGGCAACCAAATGGGCTGGGTATCAGGCTGAAGATGTATGACGAATTCAACTTCTTGATCTACTGGTAATTACGATAGTTCATCAAGGAATACGTTCAGAAAGTTTCGGACAACAAGGATATCTTGAATGTAAATCTCTTCCTTAGGTTTTCCTAACATGAAAAAAAATAGTGAAGTTAAAGGCATTCGATAAACAATACAATTACCATGCGACGACAATATCTAAGATTTTATTAATTAGTGAAAAACTCTTCGTTAGGAATGTTGAATATAATATTCTTTTGATAACAGTCCACAATAGTGTGATATGCTGCTAACTAATTCATCTCCAAAATTATATCAAAATCCTTCATGTCAAGTACTATTAGATCTACGCTTAATTCTCTATCTGCTATCTCTATGATATAAATATTGTATATAACATTCCCCAGTAATATTCTATTCCCAGGTATAGACATCAACAATACAAAATTAAGACTTTCAGGTGACACATTTAAATTTTGAGTAAAAGTATGTGAAACTATGCAAGGTGGTTGCAGATAGTATACATACCTTGTATCACATCTGGGTTGACTTCAACATCTTGCTGGATGAGTGTGTAGACCCTGTCCTAGATTGCAGGCTTGGTCTGATTCTGATTCCTCGAGCACTCTTTCGTATAGTGTTGGGCATCCCGCATATGCGACATATATTGTTGAGATGATAGCAAAGTCAGTCTCCATGATCCTTGCCACAGTGCTGACAAATCTTGTCATGTCGTCACTCTATCAGGGCTTAGGAAGGAACCTAAGTTATGGGTTTTAGTCTCTTATTCTGTTTGTTCAGTGCTGTAGGTGTTGGCCTACAATGTAGAACTAGGGGTCTGGAGTTACCCACTGCTGAGGAAAAAATACAGAGGTTCCTCTCTATTAACTATGTCTTAGTCAAGACTGCTAAATAAGTGTCAAGCTCGAAGACATATAGTTGTTATCTGATCTCAGGACGAAGATCCCATTCGAACCTTCTCGTCTTCCTACCTTCATCTGTCATGCTCTCAGGGAAGTACCGTCGTAACTCTAGGAATTTTCGAGTATATTCTGATACTGATAAATCTCCATGAACCAGGTGTGCAAACTCTATTTTTTCAGATGTCAAAGATGTTTCGGAAGATACTCAACATTGAAAACTGCCAAAAATTATTCCCAGGTGACTGGAGTTGGTAGAGTAGTCTGCTTAAGTTTCCACTAATGTTTTGCCTCACCTACGAGTATATAAGTGGCAAAGATAACTTTTTGTTCAAGAACCACCTCAAGGGACACGAAGGTCTTCTCTGTCTCTGCTAACCAGTACTCAATTTTTTTAAAAGTAGATATCCCTGCAAAAGTAGATGGATTAAGTCTCTTGTACCTCTCGATGTAGTCTGGTTCCATCATGAACGGAGTTGGGTCCGGCTGAAGGATAACTAGATTATGTTGGGGAGGAACTACGTAGCCCTGTGATGGCACCGGGTTGTATAGTAGAGATACTGAATTGTACTGCGGTGGTGCCGGATGGTACTATGGAGGAGTTGGATTATACTGTGGAGGGACTGGATCCTCTCAGTGTGGAGGTGGCTCATACTGTGGCAGAGATAGAGGGGGATCAAACAACTCTCCTCTCTTCTCCCTAGTTTGCTGGCCAGAAGTGAGCCGATCACATCCTCCCGAAGTGATCCCTCCTAGGTTGCTCTATTTTGCGGGGATCTTCTTCTCCTCATGTTTCTTTATCTACATTTCATAATAATGATTTGAGATTCAGGTTGCATTAAATTTACTCTAAACCCTATGTGCAATGAATGATTCCGAGGAACGCGGCTCTGATACCAACTGTAAAGGCCTAACCCTCTACTAGGGATTTTAAGCATGTAACTCAGAAATAGTGAAATAAACAATATTAAAATTTATAATTTAGCGAAAGCAATTAGAATTTAGGGTTAGATTCCTTGCACAGATTATTTAAAATATTCAATAGGGTTACGGGAATGCCTTTGAAACTTTAATGGTAAAAGTATAAGAAAAAACAAATATAATTATCCTTTACTTGAAACTAACAAAGCGGAAGATGCAATCTCTTAACTAGTTTTTTGCTATTCATGATTCAGATTTTGGTCGTCTTGATCTGAAATGGTTAATAATAAATGAGTGAGCTACACTAACTCAGTAAAAATATCAACGTTTTACTACTGATACAAAAAATCAAATGGTTGTAGAAAACATAAAATAACAAATGGAGCATATTCTTAATAAAACTCGAATGCTAGTGCATTCATTATTCGTTTCACTGAAAAAGTTAATATTTTCTCAACTCGCATGTAAATTCTTAAATGTCATTTATTAAGATAAGAATCAGAATAGTAATCCACAATACGCATTCTAAAAGACATAATAATTAACCTTATGTTATTTTCCAAGACTGGATTCCTTACCATATTCATCTCTATCATTTTACCTTTCTTACCAGTGTCGATGGGGGTCCGTAGGGATCCCCACTACACGTGGACACAAATATTTTCTCAATAATCAAACGATCGTCTCCATACCTTATCTAGTAATGGACACCAAAATATACAACTGCCTCAATACCTCATCTAGTATAAGTGTAATTGAAACAATTCCCAATCCTGTCCAGTATGGAATTTCTCAACTCCGTACGACTGAGGGTAACGTTCACGGTAGGGTTCATCCTATGTACCAAGTCCGTACACTCTTTCCCAAGACACCCAGTAAGTCCATTTCATTTAACACTATTAATTCACGCATATTTTTTTGTTTATTTACTATTTAGCCTGAAAAGACATGTATCATTGTATTCCAAACAACACATGAGTATGGAATTTATATTTTAGAGTACGTATGTGAAATAAGCATGAATTATACCGTTAGAAATGTATTATACACAATAGAATGACATGACAACATAGATTAAGAAACCTTATCATGTTAGCCATAGATTTAAAACGAATAAATTAAAGTAAGCAAAACTGTGAATAAATGAGCATAGTAGACGACTAAAGAAATAATTACTGCAATTAAAACTCAAAACAGGCATAGATTGACCGGTCACTTGCTCTGTTGGCAACCTATACTTAATCAATTAAAAGACCGTTAATTAATTAAAATTTTTATTTTTTATCAGTTTGGCTTCAATTTAACCATAGTAAGGAAAATGAGTGAGAGATTCTTATCCTGAGTCGGTGTTCAGAACACTGTTTTTTTTACTACAGTTCCCGATTCTTGAAAATCTTATATTTTCCTACTAAGATCGAAACCTACATCAAAATAGCGTGAAAATATGAGAGAAACAACCAAAGAAAGACAAAAATCTCACTGGGGAGTTGGGTTGGGGTTCTGGTGCGACGACGTTACCATGCTTCACTGCATGGTCTTCCTTCTCCAGCGATTCCTCCTCTCAACCAGGTCGTTTTTGACTAGTTCTCAATGAAAATTTATTTAAATCATAGTTAAGAGGTGTTTATCAACGAAAAAATGAGAAAATTTAAAGCTTACTGGTGATTTCGGCCTTCTGGTGCGGTGGCTCAGCCAAGCTCCGTCGTTCTTCCTCATGGGTTGCAGTTATTTTCGGTTATTCTACATCAAAATGTGTTAGGAGATTAAAGAGTGGAGAAACGAGAAGAACGGAAAGAAAAATCGTACTCATCGGTGCGTTTTTGGGTCTCCGATGCGACGACACTGGTGGTTGGGCTTCTCCTCCGATCGCCCTTCTCTTCTTCTCTGGTGAGGTGCGTGTGGCTAGGGTTAAGGTTCCAGTTGGAAGAGACACTTAAATACCCCCTCCTTCAATTTGGGATGTCCATCGGGGCCCGCATGGATCTCCCTCAACCATCTAATCGCGTTTATTAGGGAAATAGATATGGATTGTTCAATCGAAGACGTGTGAGCTGTTCGATCGTGCTTATTCGAAAAATCAATCCGAACCATTTGTGCGCAGGGGAGTGAACATAGGTCGTTGGATCGCCCTGGCATGCAGATTGCCCACATGGCTCCCGCATGGAGCCTGTACCAGTGTGTCCACCACGCGATGCGTTCTGACTCGCCGTGCTACTGACGTGATCGTCCTACGTGGCCTGTACTTTTTTTTGTGATTGGCCCCTTGTTTTTCCAGATTTCTTTCAAAGATACTCTTTCCTTATTTACAGTTTAGACTTGATTTCTGAAATTTGTTTCAAAAACGTGCAAAATGCATATTTCTAAAAAATAATTAAAATTAACCATACACCTTTTTTATTATTATTTTAAAAATTAAATTACATCATTCCGAACTCAAATTCTGGGATCAGGATGTTACGCTAAAATATGTGGTGTGTCTAATTTAATTTTATTTGACACTTTTATTAATACATTTCATGTACATTAATAACCAGAAATTAAATTATAAATTTTTCAAAGTATAATAATTAGAATTACAAATATATATATATATATATATAATATATAAACTAATGTATTGTTTTAAATATGTATATATAGGTCAAAATTAATTATTAAAAATAACAATTTTAAATTATTTCTTTGAACAAAAATAAATGAAATGGACATACCGGTGGTTGTTTGGTTTGTTCACAACTCATTTCAATTAAACCGCGGCCTCATCTTTGAAAAAAGGAATTTTAACTACCAAAATTTTGTCACCATCCAGTACGGTCCCCTCCCCTCTTTGATTATATATCTACGCGCGCACACAAATATATGTGTGACGTCGTTTTGGTAGGTAAGAACTGTTTTTGTATTATATTTAGATATTATAAAATTAAATTTTATTTTAAAATATAAAATTTATTATTTTAAATATATATTATCATATTGTTAGTAACTCAATTTAATATTATTCATAATTTAATTCGTTTAATAGGACTTTAAATTTTAATTTTTAAATTAAACAAAATATATTTCGTAACAATTAAATTAAATAATTTTAACTTTTGAAACTCTAATATAAAGTCAGTTTAGTAACGGCAGTTTTATTATTAACTTCATTCATCACAAGATGTATTTTAATCACACACCGTACATGTGTAATATATATATATATATGTAAGTTTAAAATAATAATTAAAAAAAAAACTGTACATTATTTTTATTATTTATTAATTAAAATTATCAGACTACTACAGTAAATCTTCATAGACGAGACGCTGCCAGAACCTGTTCCTCTCCGTGCGTCTGATGATCCGCACCGTATCGACGAACTCCTGTGTTGACTCTCGTTGACTTCCCGCTTCGAACATTTTCAGTGACGACGAAAGTGCTCGCTAAAGCTCTCAGTTCAAATTTCTGTACCTTCCCCGTCCCCGTCTTCGGCAACTCAGCCAAGAAGACGACTTTTTTGGGTACCATGAAATGCGGCATGCTTTTCCGGCAATACTCGATTATATCTTTCTCTGTTATCTCGTCAGTTTCCATGGCGGAATTCTTCTTCGCGACAACAAAAGCGCAGGGACTCTCTCCCCATTTAGGATGCGGCATTGCCACCACCGCCGTCTCCAGAACCCTAGGGTTCTGGTAAAGTACGGCCTCCACTTCGACGCTGCTGATATTCTCACCGCCGGAGATGATAACATCCTTTGACCGGTCTTTGATTTCTACATAACCGTCCGGGTAGATTACTCCCACATCGCCGGTGAAGAACCACCCATTCTTCAACGCTTTAGATGTAGCCTTCGGGTCGTTCAAATAACCTTTCATGATCCCGCTTCCTCTCAGAACAATTTCCCCCATTGTTTTCCCATCATGCGGAACACTCTCCATCGTTACCGGATTCTTCACGTCGACGTCGGCGATCGTCAGAAAACTGATTCCCTGCCGGGATTTGAGCTTTGCTTGTTCCTCCTGCGGCAGGTGGTTCCACTTCCCCTGCCACTCGCAATACAGAGCGGGTCCCGTCGCTTCGGTTAGTCCGTACCCGTGGGTCACCCGAAACCCGAGCCGCTCGATTTTCTGGAGAAGCGCCGCCGGAGGAGGTGCGCCGCCGGTGAGTACCTCAACCGGAGTGTGAATTTTATTAGGGTTACCCTCGAGTAAAATGTTGAAGACGATGGGGGCGCAACACATGTGGGTTACCTTGTGGAGGGTAATGTTCCGGTAAATGTCGCTGGCGGTGGTGTTCCGGAGACAAACGTTGGTGCCACCTCGGGCGGCGACACCCCAAGGGAAGGTCCAGCCATTGCAATGGAACATCGGAAGAGACCATAAATAGACCGGCTCCTTCCCCATTTCCCAACCTAGAATCAAACTCATTGTGCTCAGATAAGCTCCTCTGTGACTGTAAACCACTCCTTTCGGATCCGACGTCGTTCCGGAAGTGTAATTCAACGCGATCGGATCCCACTCGTCGTTGATTTCAACCGGGATAAATCCCGGGTCACCCATCCGAACAACCTGCTCGTACTCCAACTCGCCGAGTCGAGCTCCGGTCGGTGAGTCAACGTCGTCGATGACAATAACCAGCGGAATAGACGATTGCGATGACGTCAGCAACCGGAGAGCGTCACGTGCGAGCGGCACAAGCTGGTAGTCGACGAACAAGGCCTTGGCCTCGGAGTGGCGGAGAATGGTGGCTACGTTCTTCGCGTCGAGTCTGGTGTTAATCGTGTTCAGAACCGCGCCCGCCATTGGCACCGCGAAATGCATCTCGTACATGGCGGGAATGTTCGGAGCCAGCACTGAGACCTGAAATATCAAAGCAGTCAATATTATTCTGAAAATCAAAAGAAAGGGAGGAAGAAGAAGTGGAAGATGCTTACGACGTCGTTTTTGGAAATATTAAAGTTACGCAGAGAGGAAGCGAGGCGGATGCAACGTTCGTAAGTTTGCCGCCACGTGAAGGTGGTACCCGCGTATATGATGGAGGTACGGTTGGTGTATGCACCAGCGGCTCTCTTCAAGAAGGTGATGGGAGTAAGAGGCACATAATTTGCCTGGCACTTTTGCAGTCTATCCATCTAAATATTTTTTTTGATATTGCAAAGGAAATCCCAACACCTGTGTGTGTGTGTGTGAGAAAGAGAGATAGAGAGTTGGTGTAGTTAGAGGTTATGAGAATGGATGGTACAATGGTGTTCTACATATCTCTATATATATATGTAGAGGGATATATATATATATATATATATATATATGTGTGTGTGTGTGTGTGTGCGTGTATATATAAATTAAAAAAGTGAAGTAATAAAAATTTCAATGGAGAAACTTGGGTGGAAATTTATAGGGAAATTGCTAAGTTACTACTAGAACCAAAGAGAGTTTGAATGTGTGGACTTCAAATTGACAAGGAAAATTATATATGAAGAAAATATACTTTGAACACAGAGTAACTATTGACTCAGAATTATACCAACACTTTTGCTTAGACATATGTGCATACACACATATATACATATATGATATAAAACAAATATGATATTATTATACCCACTTATAATATAATCATTTTATTAAAATATTTTTAAATATAATCTAATAATTTTAAAGAAAAAATCATTTTTTTTAAATGTTTGAAACAAATAAAAAACAGTCAAATTTGTCTTTTATTATATTTTATAGGATCAAAGTTATTATTTTTTTTATAATATGAGATGAAATAAATAAAAAACGTGAAATACTATTTTTCAAAAACATAGGAAAATAAAACGATAACAAATATCAAATTTTAAATATTGATTTAATAATTTATTGTATTTTATTATAAGATAAAAGTTATTATTTTTTATTGTTAATAAGATTTAAATTATAAGGTTAAATTTAGTATTTTTATTAAAAATTTTCATTTTTATTATTTTAAAAAGTTTTGATGGACCCACTTTTTGTGGTGTTGTATGTAGATATGAGGCTGCTTGACTAACATCACATGGGATATATATATATATATATATATATATATACATACATACTTACAATTTTTATGTAAGTATTTTATTTTTGAGTGCTTCTTTTATTTTTGGAAAGAAAAAAGTTATATAGCTTTTAACTTGTTTACGTAAAAATTGATTGATAAATTAACTCTTACGTGAGGTTTGAATAAGATAGGTACATATACGGGTACCTATATATACATCCATATAAATATATATATATATATATGTATGTATGTATGTATGTATACATAACTTTTATGTATTCATCAATTAGTTGCATATGAGGTTTGAATGAGTAAGATTTCACATACTTTATATATTCACATTTACGATATAATAAGGCCGTGTACACGTATATATTGGTTACTTGGTAGTATGTGACGTTTGAACTAGTAAGATTACACGTGTCTACATATGTGTGTGTGTGTGTGTGTGTATATATATATATATGAACATATAGTTAATTCTTATGTTCATACATGTATATATAAACATTAGTAATTATTAATTACCACTTCTATTTTGAATTATTTAACAATGAAAATTTATTATATATTATTATTTTTAAAAATAGAAATTGACTTTTGACCACTAAATAAAATATTAATAATTAAATGGTATAAATTATATAAGGTTTAATTGAATATTAGATGTTAATAATAAAATTAAGACAATTAATTAATTAAAAATTAAATGAGGAACAAAGAGATTTTGTTAGGCTTTAAATATTACATTTGTATAATCGGCTTAGTTTATTAGCCGGGCCCACCTATGTCTTCTCCACAGCCACTAATTTTATAAATACTTATATATATATATATATAAGTATTTATTTTGTTTGTTTTACACACAAGTTATAATTTTAAAAACGTATTATAAAATTAAAATTTACTTTTATTTTAAATAAATAAATAAATAACTATTTCATAGTATCATATTAATTTTGTTTTTGTATTTTAAAATTTAAGTAGATAATAATATCTAAAATTTTATCTTAATATAATATATATGATTATAATTAATATTATTATATTACTTTTTTTATTTCAAAAAAATAAGAATGGGTTATGTGACTTTTTTTAACTGTTACTTATATATATACATATATTTTTACTTTTGATTAAATATAAATATATAAATACACATTCTTTAAACGAGTAAATGTTAGGTAAATTTTTTTTTTTTTTTGCAATAACTTTTACGTTAGTAAAATTTGTGCTTAAACTTCAAATAGAACACCTCTTTGTTGACCAAGTATATCATTGAATAATATTATTATATATGTTAGTTTATATTGTATTCAAAATATTTAAATATAACTAAGCAAATGCAATCATTATCTCAAGAGTAAAGTATTAATGTTTTGGAACTTAAGGTATTTTTTTTTGAGGTGGAATTGCTCAATATAGCCCCCTAAATTTTTTTCTTTTACATTCTGTTTGAATCGTAGTAAATGATAGAATTTTTGTAAGGACTACAAAGTAGAAAGAGTAGAAAAAAAAATAAATAATAAAAACGACGTCGTTTTAGAGAGGGGAAAAACGACGTCGTTTTGAAAGAAAGAAACACGACGTCGTT